TATATATATAGAACCACACACACGCACCTATCAGTGCGTTTACGTTCATGCTTAAGGCACATGCAAATCCTGCACTGTATAGATATAGTGTACAAGACAGACCATGGTGTAGGTTTAACTCCAAGTAGTCCACCTGATGCAGTGCGCTGTGAAGCCCGCTTCTAAACCGATTAGCGATCACTAAATAAGAGTGATGTCGGATTGCACATTCGAAAAAGTGCTGTGTAAATCTAGACTAAACTGTGGAGCAAACAGTTGTGAGCATTTCGACACACGTTCAGATTCATGCTATTCAGGACGTTAGCGCACTAATTCCAAAATTTATTTCCGCAGTTTATTTCAATCTACGTCAGCACTGCGATACCTATCGAAAACTTGATAACCGGGCTTCGAAACAAAAAGCTCTTTGAATTCTAGCCTAGGTGGGTCGTCCAGACAACGAAGTAGTCCCAGCGTATACATCAACTAATACCCGCAATCACTCTCGAACCTCTCCTCTCCAGAGAATCAGCAGGGGAATGCTGTCTTTGATTTAAATAAATTTCAAGGGTCGTTACGATGGTATCGAGACGCAACAATAAATCGAGACACTATATGGTCGAGAAAATTATACTGTTCCTCGTGTCAGCTCAATAGTATAGAAATATACTAAAAATATAGAAAAAAAGAAAACAACTGCTGCATGATGCATTGTCCACCAAAGCAGCAGATCATATTGCATGGTGGCAAAACATCAACGAGAACGACAGTTCTGTAATAAAAGGGCACTGTCGAAAAAGGTTCTCCATTCCAGAGGTCCGTTTCGTCGGACTCGACTCGACTAGACAATGAACACCCATATGACGAGGAGGCCCACCTGTGGATTATCGACTCAGGTCAATCCGGATCTGAAGGAGACGAAGACGTCGGAAACCTTGAACGAATAGACCTTCTTACGAACCTTGTGTCTAAATAACAATCCAAGGAATTATTTACAGTTTACGCCGTGGTTAAATGAAAGTCGGTTCCTAAGACCATGTTCTATTCTTTCAACGATGTCGATGTGAATGTTGCACACCCTCTTACTAACCCGTATATATCGTTAATGAGAAGCGTAAACTGACCCGACCTTTCTGGGTAGAGTCAATAATGAAAGTAAAGTTCAATTTAGTGGTAAGTTAGCACATAATTTAACAACAGGAATCAAGTTAACGATAAAATAACCTACAGTCCACCGTAGGGTGGTTACGACTGACACAATTTAGCAGTACTTCCACAGTAACCTTTAAAAATATTTATTCACAAAGCCGTCAACAATAAACCAAAGTGAGAAAGTGAAGGATGTAACAAAAATGACTCCAACGTGCTAAAAAATTATAAATAAGTCATAATTCAGTTTTCTCCACACTATCGTCGTCTTCTTCCTCAACGGTTTCTTCGCTCTCAGCTTTCTTCGCTGTAAGACAAAAACTGCACTTAATCACAGAACTGTCGATTACACTGCTTCATTAGAATCAAATTCGCCTGTTCACCTTTTTTTTACTATTCTATAGAACTTCAAAGTGTTTAGATGAAAATATTCATCTTACAGTACGATTTACAAGTGTCGTGTTTAGCATTCAGGGTCTAAAGCTAGTTTTTCGCAAACTGCCGACAATTTGTCGATAACCAGAATATTTGCGGAGTTCAAAACGTGATATCCTATTAGAAGATACACTACTCGATCTACCTAAGAATAAGCATGGCTTTTCAACACGGTTATTTGACTTTTAAACTTGTTTAGAATTAAAATTTCTAGAGGAAGTAAAACCATATTTTTATGAAATTTTTAAAATTACAAACAAATTTTGGCACCTATAAAAATAGGCAACGTATTTAGGGACATCATGGAAACGTTCTAACAGATTAAACACCGTTTGCTAGACATAAAGAAGTGACTAAAGCACGATTTCTGGCCTCATAAGATCCGGATTTCACCTTGGTAGAAAAGAAGATTCTCCGCGTTATTGGCGAAGACATAGCTATAACTGTTTCTGTTTCACATAATAAGTTTCATTTTAAACTGAGATATGATGGTTTGATATTTAGAGTGGCCGTTATTTTCGTACTGCGTTAGTGGAAATCAGCTCACGTAGGAATGTGTTGATTGACACTGTTATGTGTTATGTGCTATGTGTTATGAAAGAGTGTGTCGCTCCCGCCTCACAATTCTACTATTTCACTCGAGATTTTTCGTAAGAACTTACGTAAAGGAAAGAATACAGAAAACGCTTCCTCAAATTAAAGAATCATTAATGATAAGGCATCGTTTGAAATGTTTGGAGTACACCTGCATACATATGTGACAATATTGCTCGGAGTTTTTAAATGGTTTCGACGATATTACACATCAGTGAACTTGCTTGTGGCGTAGCGCAGTTGTTAGAGGCACAATCCAATACACATATATCTTCGGTCCCACCCACAATGCCTTAACAGAGTCCTCCATCTTCATAGGTAAATTTCCAGTTGTTCGGCGACTACTCATACGGAAGATCAACGGACGCATTAGGACGGCCATTTTTGGGATTTCAAGGAAAACCATTTCAACATGTAGATACTTCTATCAAGAGAGGAAAAAGCTCAACCAGTAGGTTGAAGGTGAACCCTCATGTAAATTGTAATACTTTCGTGCATAACTGATGAAAGATAACGAAAGAATTGAGGAAAGTACTGGAATCCACATAATAAGTGGTCATGGCTCGTTTAAAAAATGTTATAAGTACTCGTCGACGACTGTAGCCATTCACCAGTCTATTAGACTCTGAACAAGGTAACAAGCTTCATTAATTGCTAAACCATAGTATGAAATACCCATATGATACCAAAATGTTACTTCATCACAACACCTCACACATATGCAAGCATTATAAACAATATTCGAAAAATCCTACATATATTATTTCGAAAACAAACAACATAACCAGTTTGGTTTTCAAAATTTCCAAATTTTAGAATATCCAACAAATTCGAGAACAGGTGGTCCGGATTCAATGGATAAAGAGGAAATCAACAAAAGACGGAAGGTATTGGTCTCTTCATAATCCATACAGCACAGTTCACTTCCAAACTCGTTAGTTTCAAATCACCTCGACATTGTCAGGATAATATTGTAACAGATTAACACATTCACGACCGCAGTGATTTTTTGGAAAATACTCTTTCGATAAAAATGGCGTTTTGGAACCTTAGGGATATTGACAATTATGTGCGAAGATTTTGAGAAGTCCTTCCACTATCACTCCCTTATCTATTAGATAACATATGTATACGCAAATGTATATATACACAAATATGTATATGCACATATGCATGCATATATACATATATTTGTAAATGTATACACATACATTCAGATTTTACGTTATGGACTTGGGAAAGTCCGGACAGAGAATTCGAGACTTTAAAGAAAGAAAACCTCACAATCTCACCTAATTGATAAATTACAAGTCAGATGAAAATTATGTTTGAGCACGCGCGATTCTTTATCATCCACAATTTAGCCATCTTGGTTTCTAAAATGATTTTCATATTCAATTTAAAACTCGAAGTTTAAAAATTTTACATCAGCTCGTTGCAGCCTCAAAAACTAACCATCAAAGTGTTCCTCTGCAAGAAATCCCGTTTATTCAATTGTTCGTTTCCACGGATATGAGGTTCGATTAAAAAGAATGATTTTTAAAAAAACCCCCAGAAGATCGGAATTTCACCATAATTTTGGATGGAGCATGACTTGAGATAAGTTTGTATGGAACTGAAACGTCGTAATGACACCAATGAGCAGGGTCGGGAATGCGTAAGGCTTTAAAAAAATTCCAAATAATCCAGAACTTTCGGGTTTCGAGTGGCGTGAACAGTTATTCTTCAATATAACTCATTAAGCGATTATAACTCTAAGTCACAGGCTCAAATACTGCTTGACTTCATCTGACACTGATTCAGGATTTACGTTCATATCTATGAAGATAATCAGCACCACAGCTATGGCTGTTAAGAAGAGCAAGAGCATCGAGCGTCGCCAAACCACAAAAGCGATGATTGCTGCCAAACTTAACATAGAAATAGTCTTCAGCATCGTGTCTGGAGGTATCAGCATCCGATACGGCTTTGCTGGAAACTATTTTAGCTGATTATACGAAAAGCGCATTGTTACTATAATTAAAATATTGTCAACTATCGGATAATTTTTATTTGGAACGAAATGAATGAAATGAATAACTCAAAACGGTTTACCATCCGAACTGTTTGTCATAAAAGTCAAAATACATGACTACACCGCCCTCGAAAAATACCTGGTATTCCATGAAGCTAAATTATCAGACATCATTTTCACAGACTGAACAACGAGGTAATTATCACACTTAGAAAATCCGCCTGCCTGTACAATTCTGTTCTAACGAACACAACGAACACGAAAAAAATTATAAAGGCAACACTTAGTAAATGGAACAACCAAGCAATAATGTCGGACAGAAAACGAAACGTGAGCACGGAAGTCTTGAAACTATGAAGTTATTACCTTAAGTCATGATCTAAGTGCATTTTTGTTGTAGGAATAAACATGCGCAGGATGTCGTCATCAAATTAAAACCACTATGATGTTGAGATATTTGCAAAAGATGGATCCCAGGCCGGGTTGAACTGCGATTACCTTTTCCGGTGGCTTACAGGTTACACGCTGCACCACTTACGCCCTTGCTTTGAATTTCTCTCAGCCAGTTTTTTATTTAACGGTGCTATAAGCAATCACCCGTCGATGGGAACGATCTAAGAAGCACAAATCGGCACTGAAACCAGTCAAGCCTACGCTGCAGTCAAAATCAAAATGAAGTAAAGAACAAAAGTATACACTGTAATCTTGACTACAAAAATGTCTACACGATTGCGTGTGTAGCGTAGTGGTAAGAGACGTAATGGCCTTGCAATACATAAAGGATCGATCTCCGTGCCACAGGCTTACCAAACCTCCCTCCAGGGTAAACTGGTACCAGACTCGTCTAGGAGGACGGAAGTACTAGCTCGACACATCGATAGGCCACTTCGAGTCCTTGTAATGGCCTGATATGCATTCAATCACCTCCAACGATGCTTAATGAAGTCGAATGCATGGCGTAGCTCACAGGGATTGATCAACTCCGAGAGCTTTATCCTTTATCCTCTATAACCTGCTATGAAAAAGTAACAGGGAGTAAACTATAGTAAATAAATAAAGTGGCGTACATAGTCGTCGGATCATTTTCATATCGGTTATCTCCGCAGATACTAATACAGTTATGTCATCAAAATCTGAGGACAAGAAGCAATTATGAGGACCGAATATGGCTCAAGATAAAAAAAAACGCAAACAACGAAGAACCACTTTCTCGGCGTGTACTATGCGTTTTAGCCTCCACTGTTAAGAACATACACAAGACATAAAAGAAAACAGCAATGAAACCCATTTGCGGTTATGTAGAAGCTAAATATAGGTTATACAAGTGGGTTCAGGTATGTTGGCACAAACATCTTACTCCACTAAATCTTACCATGGTCTATGTCTCAGAGTAAACTGAAATGATAAACTGAGTTTATCAAGTTCTTCTGTACGAATATACCATCTAGAATAAAGACTTGACAATTTTAGGATAAGCGCCTTGTGAGATTAATAGCTCCTCAAATCCGTTCAGCTGATTATGGACGACTTCACAACAAGACACTCCAGACGCTTCCCCTTCTCGTGACAAATCGTCCTTTCGCAGGAAGAGAATCATTTACGACTTTAAAAATAATGGAGGACTAAAGATAATAAAATCTAGTAGTCAAAGTTTTTTATAATCCACTCAAAATTTTCCTTTCTAATTTAAAACATTCCCCTTTGAAGTTCTTTTAGATAAATTTCCGAGAATTATCAACGACCTTGCCATCATTATACATTCAACTGCACATAATAACTCAACAGACCTTCTACATCCAGCACGCATTCATCTCCTTCCCTTTTATAACCTTCGACACATTCACATCTGAATGAACCAGCCTCATTGACGCATTTCTCATTTGCTCTCGTACAGCTTTTTTCGATTTCACATTCATCAATATCTAAATAAATAAAATAATAGAAGAAATCACAAACAAACTATTCTGCCCTTTCAGCGTACAATAGTTGATATCCGTCAATTCCAGTAATATATTAGAATAAGGCTAACTAACCTACACAACCCTCTTCTGTTTTGGTCCAACCGCTTCGGCACCGTACACAAGCCTTTGGACCAGCACCTGTGCACCCTCCAGCACATGCATCGAAACATTCTTGAGAAAATGGAGAGCTCATTCTATTCCTTCTAATGAAAAAAGTTGCTTAAAATTTCATTTTCTGCCTACTTTATTTTAATGACATGATACGATGTGCAGTACAACCAGAGGGCAGTTGCGATATGAGCAAAATTCAAAAACTCAGGCAGGCTTCGAATCCGGGAGTGCTGCTCTCAGAGGCAAAAAAGAATGGACAGCAAATAAAAGTTTATGATTTCGACGGTAGCTTCGGTGATTGCAGACACCGTTAGAGTAAAAAAAAAACTGGCAGAAAGAAAAGCAAAGCAACTGTGCCGATTTTTCTGGTGAACAGCACGTGAGCACCCTCACCGGTAAGGGTAATTACGGATTTGAAGTCCACATAGGGTTTCGAGTTACGCTCATACACGTCTTCTTTGTGCAAAAAAGAATGGTTGACAAGAGATGAATACCACATAGCGTTTTTCAAATTCCTGCGATGGGAGTTTATCACTTCAAGGCACCAATTTTAAACTAAGAAATAAAGCCAACTTTTGGTATCCAACATGCTTACCTTCACATGCGATAGAATTTTCTGACTTCGATTTTTCAAAGAAATCAGGCGCACATTTCCTGCACATATTGCCAGAATAACCATGATCGCATTTACATGTTCCCGTTCCTGATCTACTACCATCACCCTTAAAATTCAACTATAAAATTTATTTCAATTTAAATCACTACAAGAATAAGCTCCATCCCTTATAGTGCTGAATTAGAAATAATAAATATTATATTCTAAATAGAATCTCTAAAATTCCTCAAAACAAACAGTTTCTAGAAGAAAAGCCTAACATGACATGATCCATGAGCGAAGCATACTGATCCAGAAAGTTCTAGTCCTGGGCACTTTGTACAGTCTTTTCCATAATGACCATCCGGACAACATACTACAACAATAACAAAGGATAATTAGTTAAAAACAAGCAAATGAAAGTCGTCTACAAAGACTACTAATAGTAAGAATACAGAAAAAACCTTTCAGGTCTTTTATTTAACATGACTCTAAAGCGTGGTCGGAGGCGCCCTGCGACGCACATTGGTCCTCGAGCCCGAGGCCCACCAAGCCTTCCATCCCTTCAGGGTCAGAAAATTGGTACCAAACTTGTCTGGGAGAATAGCAACACTGGCTCGATGCTCAACGGCTCAACACAGAAAGCTTTATCCTTCTTTGACCTTTTTTACTCTGGGCGCGTGTGGCGTAGTGGTCGGAAGCGCACTGCAACACACACGTGGAATCGATCCCGCGCCCATAGACCACTAAAGCTTCCATTCTTCCGGCCTCGGCAAATTGGTACCAGACTTGTTTGGGAGGATAGCAGCACTGGCTCGATACATCGATAGGCCACTGCAAGCCATTGTAAAGGCCAGATATGCATTCAATCACCTCCAAACGATGTTTAATGAAGTCGAATGCATGACACATCGCTCAGGAATTGATCAATGCCGAGAACTTTTTTCTTGTAAATCATAAAGCCATGAAATATCACTGGGTATCTTATGTTCCTCTATAAAGCCATATTAAACGGTAAAAAAATAAACCTTAAAAAATGCGAATAATATTAGTGGATTTGCATACCCTCCAATCGTGATTCGCAAAGCCACGCAGTCATATTGCTTGATTGATGCTTATAATAATATTCTTCAAGGATTTCCTCATATTCCTCAACAAGATGAGCACACTGAAAAATAAAAATTGAAAACGTGGAAACTGATCATTCTTAGTTTTTACTGATATTTTCCTAGAATCATGGGTTCGATCTGGCTCGGGGTCCAAATTTGGCAAATATTTCAGCAACCTACTTGACTTAGTTAAGAACGAAACGACATAGAAGCTCAGTAGAACCAGAAAGCCTAGCTCAATGAAGAATTTTGAACGTACAGATGAGCGCACAGGTATAGTAAACCTGTACTTTGTCATACAAGAAATCACGACCGATGCGAATTGAGAAGTTTGATTTGCACAATAGGTGCATAGTGGGTCGCATGTGATTTACAAGGAAGTCTCCAGAAGCCAGTTATAAGCGTAACTATAATATGCAATTTCATCGATGATTCTCACCAAAATAAAAACAAATTTAGTCTACTCTTAAATTCTTAGTGTACTTCGTTGCTGGAAAGTCAATTAACGATTTGTCTTAGGCAGTTCAGTTACACAAAATTCCAGAGCTTTGGAGCCCATGAAATCATTGATAGCAGTTCCGGCCTCGGTTTGATTTCTGAAGCATTTCTCATGAAGGAAGTCGTCGAGATGCTTCAAGAGGTGATATTCGGTAGTCGAGAGGTCTAGAGATTATGGTGGATGAGGTGGTGTTTCGCAGGTCAAGTCGTTCAACCTTTGCAGGTTCAGTTGTGCAACGTGTGGCCCAGCGCCCGTACTGCAACATGGCTGCCAATTCGTACGGCATCCATGTGTCGAGCTCTTTCGAATTTCAGCTCTACCTAAGTGCTCCGAAAAAGTTGCGATATATACATTAAGTTTTTCTGCAACTTCTCGAACAGTTGTGCGTTTCCAGAACCTTCGATCCACTGTCCTCAATAGCAGAAGGACGTCCGTGACCTTCTTCGCCATTAAGGTCGACTTGGGTTAGACGAAATCTTTGAGACCAGCCTTGCACTGTGCATTCATTGACAATCTCTTGACGTCACGCCTCGGTAATGTTTGAAACCGTTCATGAGGTACTATAAGTTTGAACTCGTTGAAGTAGATTTGTCGGAGAAAATAATTCTGAAATGCTAACCTTTAAGATTTGTAAGAAGTACAATTTGTACTACAATTCCGTTATACAGAGCTAAAGTGGACAAAGCAAGCTCTTCACTAACACACTATAGTGCAACACTCGAAAAAATCACTGAAAAGCATTCAAAAAATGGTGTATTGTTTCACAACAACTTGGTAGAAAGATGAAAACATGAAAACTCTATGAAGACCACTTCGATTAATTCAAATAACCAAAAAGTGGTGGAACACATGATGAGAAGATAAGCGAATAAAATGATATCGTCTAACGTAACCAAAGATTTCTCAACACAACGACAAATACAAAAATGTTGCTACATTGTTCTTATAACACCAAGAACCAGAATAAACGGATGGCCGCCAACTTCAACGAGAGCAAAAATCAAATACTCCCAAAACGAAAGAAAAACTACAGCCAGGATAATACAGCAGGCATCGTTATCGAAAGGCTCCATCGACAAAGTGACGTGAAGCAATCTCGTGTCAGGAAAGTCATAGATAAAGAAAGAATCCAATATTTCGATTTACAACGAATATTGAAGTTTAAGAACATGCCCCATATAGAACATGCCGAAGGCGATACGTCAGAATAACAATGGTTTAACGAGTACGGTATGGAACTGGGCTAGACGCAACGTTAAGCGTCTCAATCTTATTGAGTTGAATCTTGTTCCACTGGTACTCCACATACAATGATGTCGTTGAAAAAAGAGTAAGAAAGTTTTGGTTGCTAAACGAAGAATCAACAATGGCACCTCCTGACCCTCCTGACCTCATTAAACACTTTACAGTGATGCACACGGTAATATTGTCTCGAGGTTGGGGTGCTATTTCTGCGGAATGATAGAAAAGAGGATTGGTATGGTACAGTTGTGATAACAGTCTCCCATAATTCCAGTAGCAAGACCTTCTCGCTTTCGTTTTACCCATGACAAGAATTCGCCACAGGTGGGAAAAGAACTAAAGAGATATTTCAACTTATTATTTACTGCCTACTCTTTTTGCTGATGGCAAAAGATCGATAGAACTAGCTGAGAGACAGGCGAAACGAAAGACCCGCGTGATGTGGTGGTGAACGCGCTACTCCCCGGAAACGACAATAGTGCGTTCGTTCCCCGCCGCATACACCTGCGGTCCGGAGTTTTGCAAATATCTCAGCACCATTAAAGAGATATTTTTAAGAAAACCAAGTCGAACGACCTAATACGCATTTTCATCGAGCTTCCAAGTATTAGTGGATGTTATGTCTCGGAACTCTTCTGAACAAAACATTTGGAAACGGATTTGAAAGCAAAAAGAATATTCAATTGCAAGTCATAGACAATACCTTGGACTCCAAGTTCTCGAGCCCACTATACACGTGCTGGTCATTCACAGCAGCCTTCTTACAAATGTCCTCCATAGTTTCAATGAACCGTGTTTCGCTAAAGAGGCGTTTTCAGGTGAGGCGACAAATAAACGCACTACAACAATTTACCTTGTCGCATATTTTCCCAAATTCCTTTCCTCCCACGCTGTATCTCCACCAGCGAAATGATTTCTTGCAGTCTTTCGAAGACCCTTAAAAGAGAGGACAATCCCAAATAAGAAATTTTATCGCAAAAAAATAGCGGAAATCGTATACTAAATGAAGAAGGACAGTAAAGAAGAAAACTAAAGATGAAATGAAAAATCATGTGAACAAGGAGAATAGAGCAATATTTTCAAAGAAATCACTTTTGTTATTTCTGGGGAAAGAAATAGATATATAAGCGTACTTTTAGCATCATCAATTAATGCACTTCTTCCAATGGTTCACAGTCTCATCGTGGCCGAGAGGTGATGTTCTGGATGCAGGGCTGCGATGTACAGCGGAGGATTCATTTTCCCATCAGGGTCCCCCGAGTCGATAAGGAGTCCTGCGTTTCCATCAGGAAGCCCAGCTAACAGTAAACCAATACCAGGATCCACCATCGTCCTGGTTTTAAAGTAGTCACATAGAGGCAATCTCCCTTTGATCCACAAGAGCGGCGACTGCCTGTTGTGGTGACGACCTAAGGCGGACCTTGGTCAGGCTGACCTCCGGACTCAAGGAAACCACGATGGGTAAATAAGCAAAACTCCGAAAAAATGGAAAATATGGTGGGGCCCCCACAACCAGTGATGACGGGCCGTCCAAATACCCAAGTAGGTAACTGATGTACACTCGGTTATGTGTATCTCACTAGTGTGCCTCTTTCTTCAGGTTTCTTTAGGAATCAGGTGAGAACATGCACATATAATAATCTTATTCTTCGTTTGAATTGACTCAAAAACTGTAAATTTTCTAGAAATACATTTAAATCGAAGAAAGAAATACTAACCGCTTCAAATGTCGCCACGAGGAAGTGACAATACCGGCACTTTTTGTTTATCAGATCACCTTGACTAGCCATAACAAACAAAGAAATATTAACAAAACAGAATAAAAGAAGTTCAACACCAGTTAAATTAAACATGTCGATTTGTAATTTAGTACGGAAACGATGGTCGATATCCGGAAATTGAACGCTGCGCGATCGCACTCAGAACTCCGTCGACCTAGAACAAACACAAAGTCACGGCACTGACAAAAGAGAATGTGCGTAAGTTGTGCGGAAAATTAGTTTTCAACGATATGGAAACCAATATTACACCACGTTACACTATTATAAAAAGCCAAAGCTGACAAATCTGCTTACGCCGTCAAAACAACATAGTAAATTTTAGTAATATAAATGAAAACAGCTCCACCCAACAGTTTACCACCTCATCGTGGCAGGGAGGTGTTCCTGGGTGTCGGACTACGATGTACAGCGCGGGGATTCAACCCTCTGGTAGGGTCTCCCAAGCTAGAAGGAGTCCGGCGTTTCCATCTGGAAGGCCAGTTAAGAATAAACTAATACAAGGATCCATCACCGTCCTGGTACCAAACTACTCGCATGGTGGTCCCATCACGTCGTACCATTATAAAAAGTGTAAAATTGACAAATTTGTTACCCCTTCAACACAACATAGTAGACTTTAGCAAAGAATGGAAACAGCTAGAATCTATAGATCCTTGTCAGCAAGATGAGAATCTTTTTCTAATAGCACCCAAAAACTCGGACTTCCTGGAGTCCATATGGTCATCTATTTTTAGATTTCCTGCAAAGACGAATCAAAGCTTCATTCTGCAATGCACCACGGTGTTACCCAATTGTTCATGGTTGGTTATTGCGACTGTCGAGCAGGCACTAAAATTTGTAAGGATATAAATCTCATCTCCAACTTCTTGTATATTTGGATTCCAAACGAATTCAATATTGAAAGGTCGTCTTGGAAAACAAACTACCCTCCTACTGGTACGCTGAAAACTCTCTGCAAAGTTAGGCAGTTTCAAGCTTCTCCGATCTTCTAATTATCGAAGAACTGGCATCGGACACCAAATCTTAATATCTTTTTGTACTAACACAGTACTATGTAATCTTTCTTCGATAAACCCACACGGAGTTGATAAATGAGCTTATCAAAGAAAGATCGCATATCGATTGGTCATACCAAGGCTAAAGGAAAGTCGGTTTCCAAATAACATAGCGCTGTTTTGAGAGTAACTGTTTTCAACACTTTTTTAAGCATTTTTGCAGAAAGCTCCGAAGAAATCACGGATGTTTCTAAGTTTGAGTTTTCCACACTATAGTGTTCAAGCCATCGGCAACCAGCGGCACAAAAATGACTGCGATAACATTTGTTCGGCATGGGCTACCCATTGACTCAGGAAATATGTTTAGACGAAGCAATCTATTCAATAGTGAATATTAACAAGTTAAGATCATATCAATCAATAAAAGAAAAAAGTGGGAGAAGTTATAGCAAAAATTACTGACTTGGACGTCTCCTAAACTCGGTTTCCACTTACTACACTTTCGCTTTCAAAAGTGATTGTGCCGCATCTACCAATGGCTATACTAATTCCTTCAGACTTAAATCGACTACAGAAAAGGAGATGCTCGCAAAAACTAACAGAAAAGGATACAGAGAGGCAGAAAAGCGAAATTTTAACAATAGCGAAGGAAAGATTTCATCTATGGAAAAAATCGGAACAAACTGAAGGAATCCGGAGAATTCTACGACCATGGAAGTCTAACGGCATTGGACGAGAGCCAATGACACATCACGTTTTCCAGCGACGAAATAGTATACGAGGAACTGAACAAATGAGTACGAATCTCATTCAAAAACAGGATATATGTTAGACATAAAGAAAAACTAATGGAAAAACCTTAAGGAAGTCAAAAACCACTTAAAGAACAAGTAAAGCACTAAAGACTAAACTAATGAAATAAGGAGAAACGATAAACGGATAGACAGAACACAAAACAGAAAATATAACTATGTGGAAGAATAAAGGTAAAACACTGAACTGTCAAATAACTTTGTAAAGACCCCTCGGCTTGCAAACGTCAGCAGCACAGCGATTAAAGGACAGAGCAACCACATGGCCGTAGAGCGCAGTAGCCGCCAGCCAACCGTTCACCTTGACGGACTGCCTGCGTCTCGCGGGAACGCGTGCTGTTCGCGGACTCTGCTCTCGATGTCAGTTGCTTTCATTCAGCAGCGCCCTGACAGTCCACTTGGAGCGTACTGTCCGATCGATTCTGTAGATTACTATCCAACGAAAGTTCATCTCTCGAGAGATCGGATTCGCAGTAGGGCAAAACTCCCGTATAAACTACTCCATACTTTTAACCTGTGCTCTTGATCTCTACTCTAGTTATAACCGTTTCTATTCCGTTTATATCTTAACTATGTTTGTACTATTGTTCAAACCAACCGTAATTTAACCTCGGTAGTAATAATCAATACCTTCCTGGATTATTAAACTAACACGGGATGCAACCAAACGTTTATTGGGCTAACCATTCGGCGCCTTTGTCTTCCTCAGAGCAGATGATCCGAACCGATGCTCCACAGTCGTCCGTCTTCTGGATGTGGTATCAACGCAGTCGTAACGAGTTAGATCTTCCTCACTAGAGTACCGCTCGAATGAGACAACCTCATCCGGCAGCGCTCCTTTGTACAGGACGGTTGTTATTGATAGTGATTGACCGTAGATAATAGATTGTTTTTCAGCAGACAATCCATTCTGCAGCTGTAGGTACCAAATAAGCTAGCGTGAAAGTCGAGCGTTAACAATAATATAACCCCGCTACGTGCAAGCTTATCTGCTACTGACAACTGTAGAATGGATTATCTGTTGGAAAACAAATTACTGCCAGTGACCAGTCACTATCAACGACAACCGTGCTGTACAGAAAAGCGCTTCCGGATGAGGTTCCTCTACTCATTGGAGCGGTGCTCTACTGAAGAAGATCCGACTCGATACGACGACGAAGACGTCACATCGAGAAGATGAACAGCTATGAACCATCGATTCGGATCCTCGGCTCACATGAAGACTAAGACGTCGAAACGTTAACCGAGTAAGTCTTTCTTGTCAACCCCTTCTCAGCCTGATGATCCATGAAGGTGTACTAATTTAGTATCGTATTTCTAAGCGACACCAGCAACGTCTGTCGATGTATACAATTCTCATGTTCATCTAAGAACCTATTGTTGTGTTAGAAGGCCACATTAATTCACCATATGGCTTTTTTACCCAAACTTTTCACCTTCACATTACATTGGATGAGTCATCCACCAAATTCTATTGGTCTTGTACAATTCCGAATGCTCGAAACCAGTTCACAGAGTCAGCCGTAGAACAACATCGCGTCGTTTGTCACTGACATTACTGGTAGTTGAACAGATATCGTTCACTTAGGTTATCCCGATTAGACAAATGTCGTGGGTTAAAATTTGAAGGATAAAATCGTCGGGTTGAGGTTGACATAGTCTGGATGGTGTTCTCTCCAATAGATGAATTTTTAGCTATTAAGAGAAAGTGTAGTATTCTGTTGCATCTATTTTCATTAAACTTTCTACTGTGACTTTTTTCAGCTCTAGCCTCAGTGTCAAGATTTTATGACTTTATACTAATAATATCAAGGGAAGATGTCCACCATGTGAGCCATTTCCAAATTATTCTACTTTCTTTATTCATTCTCCAGCCTTTAAGAGGAAGTGGTCTAAGGACGGATCGTCTTATGTTTACTTCTACTTCTAAAATATGTGTATTTATTTCAACTCCGTTATTCGACACTACAGTTATTATCCTATATGCTTTTGTGTTTCGTCTTTCGTCAATCAACTGAGGTACACGCAGCTCTGTGCTTAAAAATGTTCTTTTACATAAATTACGCACGCGATCGTTGGTTCAATCCCGTGCGCTGGTCTAAGGAAACCCGCCATCCGTCCGGCGTCTAAAAATTGATGCTAAACTTGTCAACAGTATAAAAACGCTGACTTTGATATATGTAAATCCTATGAACTGCCCATGTTGAGCTGACGGGAGGTTTTTATCCGTTGTTGTTGTGATTCGGTGGCTGACGTTTCGGCGACTTCCCTTTCTTCAGAGTCTGGACATATTTTCTTTAACGTTATCTATCTAATCCGATGGACTACCTATAGTAGTAAAAAGCAAA